GGTACGTTTACTCCTATAGAGGAAATGGGAAATTCGAAAACTACCAGAGAATGTCAGCTTCACAAAGTATTCCACGTGCATCCCATGACACTAGTGACATCGGTTAGACAGCTTCCTATTTCATAGAAAAATGTGGGCTGCGTGACAGCCGTCGAACGAAAGCGTTCGTGCGGTTAATTTGCCACCGCCTATCATCCTTCGCCAAACTGTTGGAAAAATCTGTAGACCCTTGTCCGTGACATTGTTCATGTCTCCTACTGTGCTTGCAATCTTCTCAAAATTTTTGCTAATTTAGTTTTTTTACTGAACTAAAAATTTGACTACGAACCGCTGCTCCAGAGCTACAGACACATTGCTCGCCGCCATGATAACGGGAGCTGTTGCGCATGCGTCAAATACCTCATTTCGGGCGCGGAAAGTACAAGAAGCGTTATGTTAACGTCCTTCGAAAGTCTCAAAATGCTGCAGTTCAGTGAGTTCTTATGGTTAAGAGTCCGGGTCAACCTTGGACGGCCCTTGTGTTTCAGCGTGTGCGGCATTAATTGCTTTCGATTGTTTTCGAAGCTTAAGTTTCTTCTTCTGTTCAGGATTCGAGGTGGTGTGCAGGGTAGTGCACGAATCCTTTCATCGCCAAGGTGTGTGGATATTTGGGATGGAAGACGTCCCGGCATGCATGTGCACTCAGCTAGTATTTGGAAGCGTAGACAACCTCCGCACGGGGGAACTTCACTGGAGCTATCTGGGCAACATCTGCAAGGGTAAGTTGGTCAACTTTAATTTGCTTCTCAGAAAAGAGCCTTACAAGTACAGCCTCGTTCACCACCTTTCACGGCCCATTCTTTTGCGACATGTTTCTGTGTCTACTTTCCCGCACACGTTGACTGCAGTGTATGCTCGTGATTTGTGTGCCACTTGCGTTTCTAAAATAAAATTTACCAGCAAGTGAAGTTGGCGTTGTGAAACTGGGGACGGGATTTCGCACGCTTTCGTCGGTTTTAGAGTCGCGTTGCATAGTTTCAATTGGAAATGTTTTACCGTCCTCGACCATAATTAAACTTTCGCGGTTGATTTTGTTGGCTGTTTGAGTTTTCTTGTGCGAAAATTGGTCATTGAATGTGTTTTTGTAATGTATGCAGAATTGAAAATAACGTTCGTGTTCAAAAACCGGCCAGCGCTTGACCATTGAGGCGTGTCGACATGACCAGATGACACTCTTGATGTTCGTGTTACCACAAAATTATTTGATTATTTTGCATAACTGTAGGTAATCGACTGTCCAAAATCCTTGTGGTAAACGTATATGCGGGTGCTTCGTTTGTAATATAATTTAGCCTATTTTTAGTGAATACGACATTCAACTTAAACGAACACCGTTACTTGCACGAAGTATTTCGCTACAGCGCAACAAATGTCTTTATAGGCTCGATGTGTAAAACATTTTAATCGGTTGTCGCATGAGGATAAGGTTGTATTAGGATATCGATCAATCTAAATAAAGTGCGCCACAATATCGTCCCGACTCCTTTTTAGGTGAGGATGAGTTTGCAGTCAAACTTACGTTATCGTCACATGATTAGAGAGAGAAAGGGAGAAGGAGAGAGAATTAGTTATGGTTTGGCAGATTTGAAAGGGGTCAAAGATATGTGCTATTTCCTGACGCGTCCTTTGTAGTCGATTTTATGAACCTAAAATACATTGCTGTTTTCCGATATGACGGTATACATGTTAAAAGATTGAGCTCTGTACAGGATCTTATGTTTGCTATGATCAACTCCCTGTTCGCCGTAGTACCGCACTTTGCTCCAAAGTGCGGTACTATGGCGAAGAACACGGAGTGTGGAAAATGGTTCAAAACAAAGTGTCTGCTCGTTCATTCTCCTGGAGAAAATGAGGCGGACCGATTACTGATGTTTCCTGAACCAAAACAATTTCGCTCGAAAATGTGAACTACGCCGTGAACACGGGTGTGAAGCATCGTCGGGTGCCCGCTCCTGCCGAGGTCGATATTTCGGATCCAAATCATTTTAACATCATCAGTACCTAGATGTTCTTCTGTATTAGCGATGATTGTATTGTGCGTGCCTCACGGGACAGTAAAATGCAATAATAACATATGCTTTTTTGGAGAGTAATTTAAGATAGATGAATGACTGACGTGGTAAGACAGTTATTACTGTATGACTGATGGGCATCGTTTGTAAAAGAATATTTATTTCGTTTTTCGTGCCTTTTTCAGAAAATTTAAAAAAATTTAAGTGTTTCAAACGGAGGTACCGACACCTCAAGACCTTTGTAGAGCTGGGCCATTGGGATGTTAGAGAGCACTTGAGAAAAATGGCAGCGGATCCTTCCAAAAGACGCACTTTCGCCGCGAACGCGGTTAAATTTCTCCTGAATTTTGAACTGGATGGACTAAGCGTATTCATCGGAGAGGAACCCTTTGAAGTGCTTAGCCAGAGCACCAAACAAAATTTGGCAGCCTTACTCAAGGTGAGTACCAAGAGCCCATATGAATATTTTAGAGGTATATATATATATTGTTAGGGTGATGCTGTCGGCAGCAGAAAGGACAGGACAGTACACGATGATAGAACATACAAAGGATTTATGGAGGCCGAGCCGGCCCATGGGGCCTGGCGCGAGATGGTCGTGCTTGCCACTGCCCCGTCGTCGTCTTCCTGACAATATATATATATATATATATATATATATATATATATGTTACCGGCATTTTTCATCATCGTACGGCGGTCTCCGAAGAGGAAGTGATCGAAAATATGATGATGATTAAACCGTACTCGATCGAATGAATTAATGTCTTATGAAACCTACGGAAGCCATAATATACGGCGGATCCAGGATTTGAACTCTGGGCCTCCCAATGTCCGGTCGGGTGTGCTAACCGCTTCACCACTCCACCTTGGTTTTCCGGCGTTTCCTATCTGTCTTTTTAATCCACAATGAGCGAAATGCATATACAATCAGAAAGCCAAGGCGGAGTGGTGTCGTGGTTAACACTCCCGACCGGGCCCAGAGTTCAAATCCTAGCTTCGCCATATGTTTTGGCTTTCGGGGGTTTCGTAAGACATTAATTCATTCGATCAAGTATGGTTTAATCATCATCATATTTTCGAGATATATATATATATATATATATATATATATATATATATATATATATATATATATATATATATATATATATTTCTTGTTGGTTTCGACTGGAGCCTTTGAATAAGTTAAACTCAACTAGGCTTGAGCCATTTTGGCGCTGAAATTTGTTGTGGCCAGTTATTTAAATCATTATAAGAAATTGCAGGGGGTGCTTTTCCGCCCTCCAGAAGTCTTAAAACAATTCGTGACGGAGCAAAACGATATTTTCTCGGCTTCTTGAAACTACATCTAAAGCTCAAAAATTTACATTTTTTACTTCAACTGTCACAAATTAGAATCACTCTGCACTATGCAACGAAATGGCCGTGCCCACAATATAGTGGAAAAATGTTTTGTTTATACTCTATGCGTAGCTTTTTTTAGTGGGTATAGTTTGGTTGAAATTGCGCATTTACTGGTACCGACCTGGTCTTCAAAAACGTAGCTCCTTCATGACATGAGAGCGTTTAAAAAATATATGCATTTGATTGGTTGAGCGACGTGCTGGAAATTCGTCCTCGCTTCGATCACAGAAATGCGGTTCTTCTCAAAGAAGAAGGATCAATAGGCTGTAAATTCGAGGGAAGTGAATCGTCTTTGGGTACCTCGGGAACGGCGAGTAAAATTGCTTTCTTGAAAATTGAAAGAAAGGAAAATGAAATAAAAAAAAACTTTTAGCCTTTCCACTCTGGCGAAGAAGGAAGACCAGTGAAGCTGTACTATGTTGGGAATGAAGTAACGGCCGGCCGGCGAGTCAGCAAGCCTGAATGGAAAGGCTCGAAAGGTTGCCGCCTTCTATGAGCGACGGCGACAACCAGACAAGCGGTAAGCCGATTGTCTGGTTACCGCCGTCGCTCATAGATGGCAGTAGCTGCTGTCCAGAGTTCTGTGTCACCATTTGTTTGCTGACGGACACGATCCTGGGGAAACTAGCCCTTAACAGCTCCGCTGTAAAAGGGAAAGAATCAGGTACAGTTTTAGCATGCAGTTGTTAAACACGTAAAATGTCGCGATTTTTTTTCGTACTACTAAGTGAGCGCTGGAGTGGGCTTCTGCAGTGTGCGTTTCACACTATAGGTTTTTATGTAGGCTCTACTGTCGATACACGTAGCCTGTGACTTCCGACAGCGTCATTTCTTTAGTGTTTTTAATTATACTTTCGGGTTGAATAAAGCGTAAAAGTGGAATGAACCACAATTAAAAACCTAAATAATTCGCAAAAAAAAAAAAAACAACAACAACAACACCATAATTGTTGGCTTACTATTTAAACCGTGTCTATTAATCTATCGAGCCGGTTTTGAGGCACATCGTCGGCTATCAATAAAACGTCCGCCGGGTTTTTATCAGCAGAATGTGGAGCTTTGCAAGCACACCACTTGGTTTACTGATCTGCCAATATGCTGTGCTTGGTGATTCCTAGGAACTAAGCGCAGCCTTCAAGCCAGCGGGCAAGCTTCTCAGCGCCACATTTCGGGGGAACAGAAAATATGCAGGACTTTGCGAAGAATATTGAACCGTAAGCCAACGTGCTCCAATCTTATCAGTGTTGTTTTCTGTATGCGGTTGATTCAACCTTGCTTACATTTTTTTTTTTTGGGGGGGGGGGGGGGGGGGGGGGGTTTGGTTTGGGTGTTTTACATTGAGTCAAGTTGGCAAATGTAGCGGCTAGGTTTGTTGAGCTCCCGGCCGATGTTTTCCATGTTTTGAAATAAGGACCCTTAATTGCGGCACCAGGCTCGTTTATTACTCGGCTACTCTGGCTGTGTTAGAGATTAAGGCAATTCGGATATGCAAGGGAAGGAAAATCAGATGATGTGTGGTGGGAATGATGAAATGATGATAAAATGAGGTATCGTGCAGTGTGAATAATGACCAAGTTCTAAATCTCCCTTTCAGATACGTGGATTTCATATACGTTCTGGCAATCCGCATGAGACAAAACGACTTTGGTGTGACTGGAATGCATACGCAACTGCATCCTCTTCCGTCTGATCCTGAGAAGTACAAGGCCCACAACATTGTAGGTGGAAGCATTCTTAGTCTTGATATTCATTGAACGCTAAGGACCGTAGCAATAGTTCAAGTTCAAACAACGGACCTGTAACGTTAGCTTATTATAAGCAATTAACTATACTTTCCGCGTAAAATTCTAAAAACTTAGCTTTACGATTTTTTTTTATGGAAAGAAACACGAAATTTTGGCTCTCAATGAGTACAGCTATTTCTAATTCCTATTACGGGCAAAGGCTTAAAACGTTTCGAGAAGAGATGCAAGAAGAGCTAAAAGATTTTAAGCTTTTATTTTAAAATAAATCTTCCAGGAGACATACATTCGGACACTCGCCAAAGTTGTGCCCAAGCATAAACTGCTTGCTGTCTTGGCGTTCGAGGGAACAGCGTTTCGGTTGGCATCAAGCGACAAGCCCGGATTTTACGATCCATCTCAACCGGGGTTGTCTGCCGTATACAAGGGCCAGTACACAAAAAATCCCCAAGCCATCGGCTATTTTGAGGTGAGTTCTTCAAAATGATTCTTGATTCCGGTGACAGCTTGCGTGACAAACTAAATGACTACATAAAAGTTTTAAGATCCTATAACCAGGGTTCTAACGTTTCGGGATGTTGCTTTTATTGCTTTGGGGGCGTTTGTAGGGGGCAGGGGGTTATTTTCCCCACGTATTTTGTACCTTTATACCCAGTAGCCTTTCGATCAAAGCCAATCAGAGATTGGCGTCGTACTGATGTCAACGCAACTCCTGCGTAAGAAGCAAGGCGACTCGCTCTCCGCCTAGCTTAGTTCAGAGAGCACTCCGTCGTGCTTGTGGGGCGACAACGGCACCTCCCTATCGCAGCCGACGCTACTATTCGATGGAGCCAATCAAGCAGCGACAAAAGCGCACCGTCACGGCGCTCGTCATTACAGAGTTTCAGTATGGTGCCTGGATCGCGCCTACGACTGGTGTGTTTAGCGTCCTATCCCGCCCATATATCGAAAGGGGTCCCGAAGTGGCAACAAATGACGTCACAGAAGCCGGAGTGTCATTCTATTGACTGTCGCGATCCTGGCGGTCGGCCGTAGAAATGCTGGCGAAAAGCACGAGCGAACGCGAGTGTCGCTGTCGTCACGGCGTTCCAGGTGTTTCAACTTCCGGCTGCTCTAGCTTCCGTGGGCTGCCACCGTGGAGTGACCTGCAGCAGAACAGGCGTCAGCCGTTTATACCACAACTGTTGGGACGCCGCCAGGATCGCGACCGGCGACAGCATGACATTTCTATGACGTCACGAGGCGGAACTCGAAATACCACTTTTTTGGCCGCGGTAAACACACCAGTCGGAGACGCGTTTCAGGCACCATAGTTTTAGGGAACCGCGTTTGCACGTTCGATACGATTTACGATGGGCCCTCCGGTATGAACTGCGCATGCGCTGCCGCAGAAGACTCGCACGGGCGCAGTTTGTACGGGAGGGCTCATCGTATATATACCGTATTGGATATGCAGAAAAGGTTCACTAAAACTCCCTACTAACTCCGTTGGATCGTAGCGTCGGTTGCGGCCGGACTTGGAGTGAAACCAGGGTATATCGCCATCCTATATCTTTCAGCGTCTCTGTGTAGCCCAGGAACGACGGAGCGTTTCGTGAGCCATGTCAACGATAATCATAGGTGATCGATCAACTATGAAAAGCTACCTTCCTCAATAAACGCCGTTATGCAATTTTTTTTTTTTTTTACTTACGAATGTTGGTGGTTTTATTAACCCCAGGTCGTTATAATAGTATTGCGCGCCACATACCGACAAACACCTCGTATCTTAAAGCCTATTTAGCAGTTATATTCTAAGAATGTGGAACAATTTTTTCCCCGAGAAGATTGTGGAATTAGCCATCAAGAAGGAGAATTAAGGGCTCACGAAGCAAGAAGCGTAGAGACAGTAAGCCACGCCGTTCGTTTCTTAAAGTGTCGGCGACTATGGACGAAAGCACTCGTCCGTCTCGGTTCTCAGATGGACAGAGCGACCAGAGCCTGCCCTTTTTGTTTCAGTTTTGCAGACTCTACGACTATCACACGTGGCATCACGATTGGAACGAAACGTTCATCTCCACTTACGTATACTCCGACAAGGACTGGATATCGTATGATGATGGGCGGAGCGTCAGTGCAAGGGTGAGCAGGATCCAAGTCATTCAAATGCACCTTCCGCTGTACATCACCAGCACTGCGCAGTTTATAACGCTTTGCGCGTTTTGTTGGAGGATCGTTGGCCGAGTGCGTTGGTGCACCGCAAATCGGAGCACGTGGAGCGAAAGCTCCCGTCGCAGAATTCAGGATCCTAGGCTCAATTCTCACCCCTGCACGTTTTGATCCGGATAAGCATCGTACTGGAGTGCGGTCCTGCACGCTACCGCGCGATGCATGCACCAGTGTCGCCGCACCTCAAAGGCAGACCGACTTTATTTGCTCGAATGGTGAACACGAAAAAAATTCTGGCAAACTCGCATTTTATGTTCTTAAGGTAGCCACTGATTTATAAAGCTGTACCTATCTAATAATAGAAATAATAAGGGATTATTAACGAAGGGAACGGCGGAGGACGGAACTGTCCGTTTTGTTTATATTCCTGTTGTGGGTTTGACTCTTCATTGTCTTTTTTTTTTTCTAGTAGTTTTCTAGTTTGCAGATAAACAGTCACAAGCTAGAGTCGATGTTTCTTGCGTTTTCAGCATTTGGAAAGTCAACAAAACCATTTCATATGACTGACTAAAAAAATATGTCAATATCTTTAATCGTTAAAAAAAATTTTAACACGAAAAAATCGTCGCTTAAAAAAATATTACTGATCCGCTAAAATTATTTCTGAAGATTTTTTTTTTGTTTTTATTTGGCATCGTAAGGCTCGTTTGAATTGTACCGGACAATTTCAGGCGAGATGGCTGGTAAATGAAGGTGTAGGCGGGGTTGTGGCCTGGTCAATCGACAAGGACGACTTTCGGGGCATCTGCGGATCGGTCTACCCGATGCTGGAATCTATTGTCAGCACCGTTCCTTGGCTCAAGACAAGCATCCAAGAGACGAGCGACAAATGCGTCCACGGAAGACCACCGAGATCAGCTGAAAATTGTGTCGTCCAGACAGCCACCGCGACAACGCACCGGTCGGTCCTTCGTTTCACTCGTTCATTTTTCAGTGGCCTGCACTCGAGAGAAACTTGTTTTTGCCGTCCCAGACACATTTCTTGCACTAGCTTACGTACAGTCATGACAGCTTTTAAAGAAACGTAGGGCGTGACTTCTTACAATCTCGCTTCTCGCGTCCCCATTGGTTCTTGCGCGTTCTTATCGGGGAATGCGGCAATCTCATGGGCTACGGAACGGTAATCAGGGGATGGGGGACGTGCCACGCCCTGAGCTTCTTAAGTCCTCGGTGAATGCAGGCTGAGTTATAGCAGTGTTTCCTAAACACAGAGTCACGACCACGGAGAAAGAAGAGAGTTGTCCGAGTGGCACCTCCTCGCCACGGACGAAGTGCGTGGAGGGTTTGCTGGCACTTATAACAGAATCCACGATATGGTGCATCATGTAAGGAAAGGACGAGGACCAATAGAGGAATCCTTGTTATTCGCGCCGACGTTTGGTACGCTTCCGCGAAGGTCCCTAAACCGACGGTGCTCCTGCCCGAGAGAGGCGTAAAACCCGCATCACCTTAATTGTGTGTGCTTGGGGGGATATGTATGACTGGCTGATGGCATTATCTCATGCTACTAAACATGTACAGAAAGTACATACTCAATCGTTAGTTAAAAGACAGTTTCTAAGAAAATTAAGAATGCATAAGGATCGTGACTTCTTTTCAGCACACGTCGACGTCGAAAGAAAAGCAAGAAAATTTCGTCTAGCAGACGGAAACACCTCAAGAAAAGAAGAGGCCACAGGACCAGGCCACTGAAATTGGTTCATCGTAAGAAAACACTGGTCCCTCCCGTAAGTCACCACGTAGCTTCTCGAAACTGGCGTGATGCTTGTTGTGAGCATAAATTCAGAAATAAAAAAATCAACTTAACTTTTTTTTATATATATATATTTTTTTTTTTAATTTGATTTTGGGGTTCATTGCAACATTTCTTTGAGAAATACAACTTTCGAATTTCGGGCAAGGCGTTTCTTTCTTTCTTTTTTAGATTAGATATTTATTTAATATTTCATTGAATATCTTTAGATCTAAAAATATATTAAAGTACGCTTCGGGGCCTCGAGAGGTTGACAACTGGAGGACGAAAAGGCGAAATCGAAATAAGCCTGGCTAGCCCCGTGAAAAACCGTTCTTTATGCCTTGTGTCTCCCAGTGCACATTACCTTTTACACCATTGGATGGTTTAACTCTCTGGAAAAATACAAGGAACTTAAAAGTCTGGTCGGGTCTTGCGTGTCGAAAAAGCAATTTTACGCCAATTTTCTTTTTTAAGAGCGCAGTTCTGAGGTGCTTGTTTTCGGGTTGAGCGGTGTCGCCGTCGCCATTGCCTTACCCGTCGGTGTAACCACGCGTTGCATTATGGGACGTCTCCCATAATGACGTTAAAGTCACGAGAGTAAAATGTTCCCTCTAATTTGGCGGAAATCTTTTCCCGCTAAATTTAGCGCACACATTTTACCCTCCGGATGTCACGTGAAATTTAACTGAAAAACGTTTCCGCTAAGTTTAGCCAAAAAATTTCCCCGCTAACTTTAGCGGGAAATATAGCGGACATTTCCCGCTCAATGGGAGGGGAGCAGGAGAGGAGGAGGGGAAGGCGATGATGGGGAGGAGGGGCATACCCTCCCCTCTTCCTCCTCAAGAGCTGCGCTCTAATTCGGCATTACAGAGAATCGTAAAGGTCTTTAAACTTTTTAGTGCAATATTGACGGCTCGAGATTTATTTTAAATTCTGTGCGCAAAGTCCGTGACGTCACGGAATGGTAATTCGCTCTTTCCACCACAACGTGAAGGCGAAGCCGATCCACCTCTCCTCCACGCGCCCGAAACGCCGAGAGAGAAAACAAGTGGAAAGGAGGTGACTGCCGACTAAATCCCGTCTCTCGCCGTCCATACTGCTGAAATTTTTTTTTTCTCAAAATTAATTTTTTGACACGCGTGTCCCAATAGAATGTTAAAAAAAAAAACATTTTTAGGAGCTTTTTAAAACATGAAAGAACAATAAAAAAGATGCCTTCGGGGTAACATTATTGCCAAGGCAAGGGCGGAAGGTTGCGACGGTAAAGTGCTCCGTGGCAAACTAATTACTGAACTAATTAACTTCGGAAGTATTCACCTTAGATGTCACATCGCAGTTATAGATGTGCTCTCCGTCACGAAAAATATGTCACAGCTGTTAGAATTCAAACAAAAACTTTAGAAAGAGTTTTATACATAAAGACTATGGGTACACATTCCCAACGCGCTCACTAACAAGCATATGTCTATTCTGCTCCGCGACATGATCTGGCAAATTTTTGACGCGAGGAGACAGCAGGTTCCGAAACAAACGCGGAAAAGAGCGACTGAGGTCGCATCAAGAAATCACGTCAGCCTTCGCGATTATCACGGGTAACGGTACATCGGGAGTCGAACCCTTACCTAATGCTCACGTGGTCGTAGAAAAGGTGGACCACCTTCTGCAGTCTCCTCCGGCACGCAGCTTTTGGCTCTTTTTTTCCCCCAAGTTTCGGTATGGCGAAGTTTGGACAGCGTGACTTCACCGGAGAATAGTGCGGAGCAAAATTTAGCTGTCGGAATTCTAACAACAGCTGTGGGATATTTTGACGATAAGCAACACATTTTTAATTGAAATGTGCTAGCTAAGGCGAACATTTTAAAAGCGAATTTGTGATCTTTAGACAATTCATTTGCTGAATTTTACCTTAGCTGATGACGTCCGCCGTGCCCGATAACATTATCCTGAAGAAAATATTTATTACTTCCAGTACCACAAAAAGAAAGTGTTCTGAATCACTGGAGACACATCCTGTATAGTACAATGTAGTTTACACATTTGGAAATAATTTTACTTCTGCAGACGTCTGCGTCACGAGAAAACTATCCTGTAATTCGTGTCGTCCACCAGAAACCTTCACGCTCTGGTGAAGATTTGTAAGTATACCTTTGTTCGAAGGAGCTTGTGGATAGATTTGACAAGAAAATGATAATGAGAGCTCTTTTTCATCATGTACATTGAAGCTAGCAATGAGCGTTTGAAGTACAATCAGTGCTGGGAAAGTAACGATTTTTGTGTTCGGTATTTAAGAGCTGGTAGCTTGTTTGCGTTCACGTTTATTCGCTCATTTTATACGCAATGAGTCAATCCGATTATTTGCCATGCAGAAGATGGAGCGTAGAGGAGTTTCTCCGTGTCCTACGGCCCAGCATAGGTGAACTTTTAATATTTTAATACGAAATTGCTGTTATACTCTACGGTAATTGTTTCATCTACGTTGCCAAGAAGTTACACATTTACACTACGGCGAGAGAACCCAGTGGCTTTGCCTTGCGCCCTGTTCGCACACGCTGTCACGTGAGGGAGAGGCCAAATAAAGCCACACTTTGATGCGAGTGGCTTTGGCAGTGCACCACCGCAGAATCTTCGCTAGACACGACAGAATTTATACTAGGCTGGACGGCGTGGCGCTAAAAAGTTGTCTCCTTGCAGCATATGTGTCTTTTAGAATAAACAAATAAACTAGAACGCCTAGCGAGGGATTAAGTCAGCGAGCTATCTTGAGCCAGTCATTTAGCGTTAGGTCCTAACGATGTGTTTGAGTAGCGCGGTAATTGATTGGAAAACTTTCTGTACTCTCAAGCTTATTATTGTATTTTTTATTGATTTAAACTGCCTCGAGGACAGTCGTTTTGGGTTCTGCTTTTCTGATCAAGATTCGTTTTGACGTATTTTCTTTTTTAAAAAATGGGGTAGAGAGGGGGCCTTGCTTCAGCCGTTATCGGATCGTATTTGTTTTGCTAAACATCAACTTTTTAGACTTTTCAAACCATTCGTGGTGGACATATAAACCACATGTCATTGATCTGTGATTTGGTGAAACAGAGGTCTAAAACAATTGTATCTAGTTGTCGTACACAAACTATTACTTGAGACATCACCGCTAACTCTAAAATTCCAGCATGAGACATACAAATTGTATGTGGAACTCACACACCGTAATTAACACTTGCTTCACAAAACAAAATGCAAATACCACTCTGGCAACTTGTATACAGCATTCCACTATATCGCAGGGGAGAAAACGCCATTCGGTTTAAACCCATAGAAGTCGTTCGTCACAAGCACATTGAGTTCCATCCGGTAAGTCTCAGTTCCTGTACTGCATTTTAATTTATCACAGGACAAAGATCTACCTAGAATTTGTTACTTAAGTTTTTACAGTCACTTTCGTTAAACTATAGCCGAATTCCTTGCACTAATTTGTTGTAATGGTGCTTAAATTCAGAATTCTCTTCATTGGTTAATTCTTAGTGGAAGGGAATGTCCTTGGGGGCCAGTTGGTGATTCATTGTATACAGGGTGTCCGCGACATTTCGGGCCGTTATGAAAGGGGGAGAGAGATGCTTCGGGTTCTTCTATGTTAACCTTGTGTTCGGGTGGCTGCGCGACCACTCTTGGTTCACTAGCGAGCAATTGCGCTGGAGCCATGCTCTAGAAATGCCCCAGTCTCGTGCTTTTAAATTTCCGGTGCGCACCGGCACGAACAAAATGTCACAAATGAAGTTCTGTGTATTATCTCGAGACGAGGGACGCCACTGACGCCGCCGAGCTTCGGTGACAGCAGCTATACTCTATGTCACTAGTTGTGTGCAGTGAAGGCGAAGGCAACGCCAGACAAAGAGGGAAAGGGCAAGCACTAGAAAGGCAGGACGGGAGAGGAAGGCAGTGGAAGGCGAGGGGAGAAAGTGAGACCACTAGGAACGTTAGAGAGGAGAGGAGATTTCTCTCTTCCTCCCCAGCCTTCCTGATGCTTGTTCTTTCTCCCTTCGCCTGGTGTTGCCTTCACCTGTACTGCACGCAACTAGTGACAAGGAGTATAAGCAGACGGTGTTCGCCTACTTCGTTGTGCTGCCGACAGATGGAGCAATGGGACAAACGCGAGGATAGGGAGCTTACATTACAGAGAGTTTTTAACTGCTCCACCTGGTTCTAGTGGTTAATAGGCCGCGTTTTCAATGCGAGCCTCAAGGAGGTGACGTATTCGTTGATAATCTTCGAGTGTTTCTGCCTTTCCGCCTGATTCCTCCTCGAGACGCAAAAATACAGCACATGCGCACTTATGACAAAGCGTCGAAGGCGTCCGCGACCGTAATTAAATTGCAAACGCTCCCAGGCTTTCAGTTGGACCCGCTCTACAATCTAGGCTCTCTAGGCGAGGATACGCCGGATCGCGGCGGATACGGTGTGAGCGGTGCCTGGACCGAAAATCTTCGTACAACGATGGCTGCCAACCGGGCCATTATGGCACGTATAAATGTTAGCTGACACGGTGCTCGAAAAACCAAACAAACAAAAAACCTTGAGTAACACAGCAAGCAAGTCAAAACATTAGAAAATTTGGCATTACAGAGACTCGCGTCGTGCTGAAGAAAGCGTATTAAAATCTTTCGGAAGTTAGTTGCGGAGAAGCTCGGAGCGTAAGTTCGGCGCCTATAGGGAAGGTAGGTGCCCGTCACCGATGCCCTGCCGTTCACAAAGTAGTTGAACACGTTTAAGGTCTTGAAAGTTTTAAGTCGTTCTCAGGCATGTGGACCAAGCTAGTCGAATAGGTAGTCGTGAAGACGCACCCACGATACCTTCGGCAGATCCGTCATTTCTTTGAGGAACACGTCATCTTTCTTTTCACCCATGGGATCAGGAGGGCA